TTTCCTCCCAGATCTGGACCAGGGCATCACTAAGCTCCTGGGCAGTCTGAGGTGCAACCTGGTGGTGTCGGATGGACCGAAACATGACATCCCAGAGATGTTCTATTGGATTTAGGTCAGGCAAGAGGGGACCATTCAATGGTATCAATTCCTTCATCCTACATGACCTGTCTGCATTCTCTCGCCACATGAGGCCAGGCATTGTCGTGCACCAGGAGGAACCCAGGACCCACTGCACCAGTGTAAGGTCTGACAATGGGTCCAAGGATTTCATCCCGATACCTAATGGCAGTCAGGGTGCCATTGTCTAGCCTGTAGAGGTCTGTGTGTCCCTCCATGGATATGCCTCCCCAGACCATCACTGACCCACCACCAAACCAGTCATGCTGAACCATGTTACAGGCAGCAGAACGTTCTCCATGGCTTCTCCTGACCTTTTCACGTCTGTCACATGTGCTCAGGGGGAACCTGCTCTCATCTGTGAAAAGCACAGAGTGCCAGTGGTGGACCTGCCAATTCTGGTGTTCAATGGCAAATGCCAATCAAGCTCTATGGTGTCAGTGAGCACAGGGCCCACTAGAGGACATCAAGCCCTCAGGCCACCCTCATGAAGTCTGTTTCTGATTGTTTGGTCAGAGACATTCACACCATTGGCCTGCTGGAGGTCATTTTGTAGGTCTCTGGCAGGGCTCATCCTGTTCCTCCTTGCACAAAGGAGCAGATACCGGTCTTGCTGATGGGTTAAGGATCTTTTACAGCCCTGTCCAGCTCTCCTAGTGTAACTGCCTGTCTCCTGGAATCTCCTCCATGCTCTTGAGGCTGTGCTGGGAGTCACAGAAAACCTTCTGGCAATGGCACATATTGATGTGCCATCCTGAAGGAGTTGGACTGCGTGTGCAACCTCTGTAGGGTCCAGGCATGGCCTCATGCTACCAGTAGTGACACTGACCCTAGCCAAATGCAAGGCTAGTGAAAAACAGAAAAGATGAGTAGGGAAAAAATTGTCAGTGGCCTCCACCTGTAAAACCATTCCTGTTTTGGGGGTCATCTCATTGCTGCCCATCTAGGGCACCTGTTGTTAATTTCATTAACACCACAGCAGCTGAAACTGATTAGCAACCCCCTCTGTGACTTATCTGACCAGATCAATATCCCAGCAGTTTAATTGACTTGATGCTAGACTGATTAAAAAGTGTTCCTTTCATTTTTTTTGAGCCGTGTACAATTACTATTCACATATAGGAAAGGCCAGTGTATATTTTACCTGTAAATAGAACCTTGCATTATCAAGGCATGAGAAATATCTGTAAATAATCTCCCTTACTTCGATTGAGTAAATCAAAGAGTTGTAGGAGGTGCCACGATCTGGTCCATACATAGTTTGCATCCTCTGTGCAATCTACATTCTGGAGCTGCCATGTTTAATATTGAATGCATAGAGAAATGCTTTCCTCCATTGCCTGATAAAGACTTGGGACACCCAAAACCTCCCCCCCCAAGGCTATGACCAGCAGGACTGGAAGTCATGAATCACCGGGGTGTATTACCAGTTCAGCATTCTCTGAGTTGTACACAATGGGACTGGCTGAGCGCAATCCTTTACATCAGAACCGGACCCAAGTAATGATTCTGTACATGTCAGCCATGTAAGCGCCAAGGGTGGCGACATTTCTTCTGCCAGGTTTATTAAACTTAATAAAATTCTAAATCTTCTTCTTATGAATCTCCTCGTACTCAGGAGATGCCTTACAGCCAGCTCAGGATAAGGTGCTTCAGGTCGATATTCATTTCACTACCATCTCATGGTCAGGAAAGGACATCTAACTACATCAGGATAGCTGCAGCACTTAGGGCTATCTATGGGTTTTGCAGAGAGCTGCAACATTGTATCACAAGAATAACAAAGTAACATTCACCCAACAATTCCTGCTGCGGGGTGAAAAGAGGACGCCATTGAAAAGATCACATGACACCTGGGGGAGGGACATTGCTGAAGGTTGAGCACCTCTTCTAAATTCTTTGAAACAAAGTGAGGCCCAGATCCTCATAGACTGCTATTGAAGAATTTAAATTTGTGAAGTCTTTAAACTGATATTAAACCCCCAAAACAAAAATGTATTAGATGATATTATTTTCCTTGCTGCCAATAGCAACCAATCAGCTATTGGAAGGGACCAGAAGTTTTTGTTGCTCGCATACCTTTCAAACTTCTACCCCTTTTGTCTGTAGTAAAAATGTCATCTGTTAATAGATGACTTCCATTGTTAAAGATAGGCTTCTAATCCAAGAGAGTTGCCAGTATGCAAATGAGCCGATCTCATGGGCCCCACCCAAAAGAGTTAGTTGACTGTGCCCACCTTGTATAGCATCACTGGGAGTCAGCCGCCCACTAATGAATCAGTATGACAGAGGTGTGATTTATCAGTGCCCACCCCCACCTATGAATCAGTATGACAGAGGTGTGATTTATCAGTGCCCACCCCCACAGTGCCCACCCCCACTAGCTATGAATCAGTATGACAGTGTACTTTGTCAGTGCCCACCCCCACTTATGAATCAGTATGACATAGTACTTGGTCAGTGCCCATCCCCCAACTATGAATCAGTATGACAGAGGTGTACTTTGCCAGTGCCCACCCCCACCTATGAATCAATATGACAGAGGTGTACTTTGCCAGTGCCCACCCCCCACCTATGAATCAATATGACAGAGGTGAGCTTGGTCAGTGCCCACCCCCCACCTATAAATCAATATGACAGAGGTGAGTTTGGTCAGTGCCCACCCCCACTTATAAATCAATATGACAGAAACTTTGCCAGTGCCCACCCCCCACCTATGAACAATATGACAGAGGTGTACTTTGCCAGTGCCAGTGCCCACCCCCCACCCAATATGACAGAGGTGACCTCATGAATCAATATGAACAGAGGTGTACTTTGCCAGTGCCCACCCCCCACCTATGAATCAATATGACAGAGGTGAGCTTGGTCAGTGCCCACCCCCCACCTATAAATCAATATGACAGAGGTGAGTTTGGTCAGTGCCCACCCCCACTTATAAATCAATATGACAGAGGTGTACTTTGCCAGTGCCCACCCCACCTATGAATCAATATGACAGAGGTGTACTTTGCCAGTGCCCACCCTCACCTATGAATCAGTATGACAGAGGTGCACTTTGCCAGTGCCCACCCTCACCTATGAATCAGTATGACAGAGGTGCACTTTGCCAGTGCCCACCCTCACCTATGAATCAATATGACAGAGGTGTACAACTTTGCCAGTGCCCACCCTCACCTATGAATCAATATGACAGAGGTGTACTTTGCCAGTGCCCACCCCCCACCTATGAATCAATATGACAGAGGTGTACTTTGCCAGTGCCCACCCCCCACCTATGAATCAATATGACATAGGTGTACTTTGCCAGTGCCCACCCCCCACCTATGATTCAATATGACATAGGTGTACTTAGTCAGTTCCCATCCCCACCTATGAATCAAAGGGGTTGATTTACTAAAGACAAATATACCGTGCACTGCAAGTGCAGTTGCTCCATAGCTTAGTAAATGAGGTAAAGCTTCACTTTGCAAAGTATACCCAATCACATGCAAGCAAAAAAAAACATTTTTTTTGCATGCACATGATTGGATGATAGAAATCAGAGGAGCTTCACTTCATTTCAGAGCAACTGCACTTGCAATGCACAGACTATTTGCATTTGGTAAATCAACCCCAATATAAAATAGGTGTGCTTGGTCAGTGTCCACTCCCACCTATGAATCAACATGACATAGGTGTAATTGATCAGTTCCCGCCCCCCATCAATGGATCATCATGACATAAACATGCTTGGTCATCCAATGAGCTGGCACAATTCAATCTTCCTCCAATATGACATGTACAATAGGAGGCTTGGCCATACACAGGTCCTATATTATTCTAATTTTCCAACATGTACGTGACTGTTGAGTCACGAGGACCCTAATAATAGTTTTGTTTTGGGCTGTGCCTAGTGTGACCATAAATTATTGTTATCTTTACTTCTTATCTTTCCAAGTTTTGTTGAAAAAAAAATATTTTACATTGGTAGAGTAGTTCATGGTCACTTCACATCATGGATACAAAATACAAGACTTTGGTAATCAGATGGTCTTTCTTAGATTCCTTATACATGACATTGATTGTTTTTTAAATGCTTCCATAGACACATACATAGAAACGTTTGGAGATTTTAGCAAAGCGGAGGTATACCGAGAATCATATGAAATAATACTGCCTATAGGAAACGGCGGAATTGTGCTTTCATACCACACTTAAAAAGCTATGATCACTCATGGTGCAATGTAGAGTTTGGGGGCTTGTAGGGTGATAAGATCTTCTGTAGAACGATTCACTGATCATAAGCCAATCTCCATCATCTTGTACTTCATTGGATTTACGTTCTTTGTGCTGCTTTACTGTTAAAGAGTGATGGACAAACTAATCTTACATTCTGAAGCCTCACAGTTTATTTTAGGAAAGTCCATCTAGGGAAACGGCCTTTGACTGACATAAACTGATATTACTCAAATATGCTGCCCCCTCTTATTTTTAGCTCTCTGGTTTTAGTAGAGTTTGGTTAGACTTGGCCTAGGACATGTGGTACCTTTAAGGACTTAAGACTGGCTGAGGTTCTGAAGCCTTCAGAAGAAGAAGGTTTAAATAATATTGTTGACAGAAGAACTTAATAGATAGCCAACCAATTACATCTTTGCTCATGGGACCCTGGATAAGAACTTGTTTTTCTGAAGGTCAGCAGCCAACCAGAAGGTCCATTATCTGTAGCAGGACTGGAAATGTCGCCAAAATTGCCCAGGGTGTATGTATCTTGGTTGTACGATCCAGGCCTGGTCCTCAACACACATTACTTTATTTTCGGTAGTGAGATCTTTGACAGACTCAACTAATGTCAGCACCTTTCTTTAATAACTACACACATATCTAGAGTACTGAATAACCTAAACCACACTGTAGTAAAGTTCGCCTTCCAGACGGGGTTTTTCGGCTTGTTTCGGTACCACCGTTGGGTTGTCTGATGGAGGTTTCTCCTTTTTCTCTGCTCGGGTGTTAGCGTTGTCCCTCACCATGCTGTAGCTTGTGGTGGTAAGGTATATGCTCCTCCTCTGGGTGTCCACCTGGCCACATTTGCACAATTTCTTGAAAGCTGTACGAAATTTCTGCGACATGAGGTTGTAGATGACGGGGTTGATTGCACTGTTGGCGTAGACACAAATTCGGCAAAACAGGAGGAACCAAGGGTCAAGGTAAGGGTTTTCCATGAATGAGTTGACTAGAACCAAAGTCCGGTAGGGCATCCAGAGGAGTGCGAAGAGAACAACTACCACTGCCAACATCTTGGTGACCTGTAAAATGGAAGTGAGAGGAATCAATCAGATGCAAGGGAAAAGTGGAGGTATTTTTGGCATGACTGATGGTGGAAATTCTTTGCATTATTTATCAAGAACCAACCAAAATCCAAAACAAAAACTACAATTCTGGACCAATTTAGGTCTAAGGCAATCTGATTCTCTAGTTTTAAACATTAAATTTGCCATGAACATACACTGAAGGTCTATCAAGCCATCTTTGATTCCCCATCAACAATGTTGATTACTTGGTATTTACAGATATTTATATCGGCTGACTCTTCTGAAGGGATGGAGGGACACATTTTTAGAGAAGAAATAGACAAGGTACCATTGCCACATCTACTGCTCCTGTAGAACAGGGGGTCTCCAAACTTTCTAAACAAATTGGTGGCAAACAGTGGAATAGTGCCCTATCGTTGGTGTCAGTGGGAGGAATAGTCCCCCATCCTTGGTGTCCGTGGGAGGAATAATGCCCCATCCTTGGTGTCAGTGGGAGGAATAGTGCCCCATCCTTGCTGTCAGTGGGAGGAATAGTGCCCCATCCTTGATGTCCGTCAGAGGAATAGTGCCCCATTGTTGGTGTCAGTTAGAGGAATAGTGCCCCATCGTTGGTGTCAGTCAGAGGAATAATGCCCCATCGTTGGTGTCAGTGGAAGGAATAGTGCCCCATTGATGGTGTCAGAGGGAGAAATAGTCCCCTATCCTTTGTATCAATGGGAGGAATAGTGCCTCATCATTGGTATCAGTGGAAGGAATAGTGCACCTTCGTTGGTGGCAAACAGCGGAATAGTGCTCCATCGTTGGTGTCAGTGGGAGGAATAGTCCCCCATCCTTGGTGTCAGTGGGAGGAATAGTCCCCCATCCTTGGTGTCAGTGGGAGGAATAGTGCCCCATCCTTGGTGTCCGTGGGAGGAATAGTGCCTCATTGTTGGTGTCAGTGGGAGGAATAGTGCCCCATCATTGGTGACAGTGGGAGGAATAGTGCCCCATTGATGGTGTCAGAGGGAGAAATAGTCCCCTATCCTTTGTGTCAATGGGAGGAATAGTGCCTCATCATTGGTATCAGTGGAAGGAATAGTGCACCTTCGTTGGTGGCAAACAGCGGAATAGTGCCCCATCGTTGGTGTCAGTGGGAGGAATAGTCCCCCATCCTTGGTGTCAGTGGGAGGAATAGTCCCCCATCCTTGGTGTCAGTGGGAGGAATAGTCCCCCATCCTTGGTGTCAGTGGGAGGAATAGTGCCCCATCCTTGGTGTCCGTGGGAGGAATAGTGCCTCATTGTTGGTGTCAGTGGGAGGAATAGTGCCCCATCATTGGTGACAGTGGGAGGAATAGTGCCCCATTGATGGTGTCAGAGGGAGAAATAGTCCCCTATCCTTTGTGTCAATGGGAGGAATAGTGCCTCATCATTGGTATCAGTGGAAGGAATAGTGCACCTTCGTTGGTGGCAAACAGCGGAATAGTGCCCCATCGTTGGTGTCAGTGGGAGGAATAGTCCCCCATCCTTGGTGTCAGTGAGAGGAATAGTGCCCCATCCTTGGTGTCAGTGGGAGGAATAGTGCCCCATCCTTGCTGTCAGTGGGAGGAATAGTGCCCCATCCTTGATGTCCGTCAGAGGAATAGTGCCCCATTGTTGGTGTCAGTTAGAGGAATAGTGCCCCATTGTTGGTGTCAGTCAGAGGAATAATGCCCTATCGTTGGTGTCAGTGGAAGGAATAGTGCCCCATTGATGGTGTCAGAGGGAGAAAGAGTCCCCTATCCTTTGTGTCAATGGGAGGAATAGTGCCTCATCATTGGTATCAGTGGAAGGAATAGTGCACCTTCGTTGGTGTCAGTGGGAGGAATAGTGCCCCATAGTTGGTGTCAGTGGGAGGAATAGTCCCCCATCCTTGGTGTCAGTGGGAGGAATAGTGCCCCATCCTTGGTGTCCGTGGGAGGAATAGTGCCTCATTGTTGGTGTCAGTGGGAGGAATAGTGCCCCATCATTGGTGTCAGTGGGAGGAATAGTGCCCCATCATTGGTGTCAGTGGGAGGAATAGTGCCCCATCGTTGGTGTCAGTGGGAGGAATAGTCCCCCATCGTTGGTGTCAGTGATAGGAATAGTGCCCCATCCTTGGTGTCCGTGGGAGGAATAGTGCCTCATTGTTGGTGTCAGTGGGAGGAATAGTGCCCCATTGTTGGTGACAGTGGGAGGAATAGTGCCCCATTGTTGGTGTCAGTGGAAGGAATAGTAGTGTCCCATCGTTGGTGCTGGTGGGAGCAATAGTGATCCATCAGAGAAGTCAATTGGTGAAATAGTGCCCCATCTTTGGTGTCTGTGGGAGAAATCGTGCCCCATTGTTAATGTCAATTAGAGGAATAGTGCCCCATCATTGGTGTCAGTGGGAGGATTCATGTCCTATTGTTAATGTCATTGAGAGGAATAGCACCCAAAGGGCCAAATAAAGACAAGCCAAGGGTCACCGTTTTGAAACCACTGATGTAAACCATCAAAAATGTATACACAAAACAATAAAGATGGTGGACAAAAATGATAAACAAAGCTAAAAGCTATGTTTCAATAGTAAATTTACAAATACAGACCTAATGCTGGTCCTTTAAAATTACCCATTTGAGATTTCTTTCAGAAAGATCTATTATAAAAATCAGATCAGAAAAAATAAAGCATAAAAAGAAATAACGGGAGGAACAGCAGACAAAAAAAAAGGAAGGTAGTGCGAGAAATATGCCAACCCACTGAACTACTAGCAGAGTCCAAAGAATATTTTTCCTTCACTGGCTTGAGTTAGAACCTAGGAAAGGAAAACAAAGATGAGGTTCTGCTGGGGCCCCTGAGGGCCACACAATAAGTGCCAATGGGTCTCATGAGCCCCCTCGGTGATGTCAGCTTTATGGCTTTTTAATTGATATTAATCGCCTGTATTATCTGTCCTTTTTCCGATCTCATCCTACAAGATCCTCAGGAATTAATGAATCACATCCTCTGCTTATAGAAAATGTATGTTTACTCCAACTGTCACTGATTCTGGGAAATCCTTAAAGCTGAAATTTAATCCGCTAATGTTATGCCTTCCCTGGTTCCCCCCTCCCCCTCATCAACTTGATAATGACATTTTTCAATAAAACCTTTTCTTTTTTTTTTACAGCATACCTAATTTTATACTCACTGGGTCACCACTGAGTCTCTGTGTTTTTCTAAGCAATGCAGGCAGATCATGGCCGGTGGAAAGGACCAGCAGGGTGCTATACATAGCTTCCTAAAAACATCCCAGCATCCTGCCTCGGCATTCCTCCCAAGAACCCTCAGCCCTGATGCAAGCAGTGGGAGGAGTTATGCAAATATCAAATGCCTGTTGTATGTCTGGAGAAGTGGTTGTTTCAGGGTAGGCTGTATTTTCATGAAAAATGCCCCATGTGACCCTGAACCTCTATGATTGAAAGAACTGATATCCAATGAATGAAAGGATTGGGGAGGAAAGTCCTAGAGCAGGGGTGTCAAACTGCATTTCATTGTGGGCTGTATCAGCATTATGGTTGCCCTCAAAGGGCCGGTTGTATCTGTAAGACTAGATGCCCAGAGCACCCCATTCCCCATTACATCAGATGTCAAGAATCCCACACCCTCCCTAACATCACCCCTTTTGGGGGCAGAGCTGGAAAGCAGAAAGTGCAGGGTCTGGAGGAGGACCAGAGGAGGAGTGGCATTACTAGAATCTGCTGAATGCTGAGACCAGGGGAGGCAGAGATGAGGGGGTGCTGCAGCTGCACTGAGAGGTGCAGGATTTGGCAGAGTTCTATTCTCCTCTCTGCTGAAACAAGGGGGGGGGGGAGGCAGAGAGAAGGGGGGGGGGGGGGCAGAGACAAGGGGGTACCTGCAGAAGAGGTGCAAGGGCCACATGAAATGGCCTGGAGGGCCAGATTTGGCCCGCAGGCCTTGTGTTTGACACCTGTGTCCTAGAGGATGCCAGGAAATGAGGTGGACTCTATCTGACTTCCAGCTTCTAATGCACATTGTGGGAAGCTCACAGTGTGCAGTGAAATCAGAGTAAGCCACTTCAGTCCAGGAAAGTAAGACTGAAGGGAAGGCCAGAGGTCGGATCCAGGGGTGGACTGACCATTTGGAAACTCGGGCACTGCCCGAGGGCCCGGGGTCAGTAGGGGACCCCATGAGAAGCCCCTGGTACCTTTTTCATAGGCTTTTTTGAGTTTGGGCAAGGACACAGGGGCCCCATGATCCCCTATTGCCCGGAGGCCCCATGAGTTGTCAGTTCGCCCCTGGTCGGATCTAAGTGCTTCTTTTTATTCTTATAATACTAAAATATAAATTCATGGCCATGACTGTTCTGTAGGAAGATGAAGGCACCAGACCATGGCGGCCGCATTCCTTTTTTTTCTCCCATGATCCCATGTTATTGTGAGCACAGAGCATCAGCAGGGTTATTACGACCATGTCTCTTATGTGTCCAGGAAGGACTCTCCCCGGTAAATTATAAAATGGAGAATCGATACGTTGTATCTCCGATCGCTGGCTTCCCTCATCTCCCAGCAATTTCTGCTCTTTGATGTTCTGCGCACGGATCTCACTGCCCGCCTTGCTTTTATCTGCTACTCCAAGCTGGATGGAGCTCAGCGGAGTCCCTGTGTTCTCGCCGAGCGTCTCGCTGCATGGAGAGCGTTAAAACGTCATTGGCGGTGAAAAAATGGAGGAGAGAGAGGCCCAACAACGTACTCACATCAAACACACCGCAACAATGTTACTTAATGCTGAGCTCCATATAGAACACAGAGACCCGCAGCGGGGAAATGACACTCTTCACATGAATCAGATGAAGAGCCCAGCAAAATGTACAGGAAAATCAATGACAGCGTGATATACTACTGACACCGCTATTAACCACTTCCAGGCCGGGCCGATTCTGACATTTCTGCCATACATGGAAAAATCGCCATTTTCTTTGCTGAAAAATTACTTTCCAAACCCCCAAACTTATATAT